CCCCCCCCCCCCCACACTTCCCTGGCAGTAGCGGCCGCTGTGCAAGGGAGCTCTCCTTATTCGAGGCGGAGGCCGAGGGTATGGCTTTTGAGTCAGCTGGGTATAGATTTCAACTGGTTGTGCTTGAAATATATAGGGCTCTTGAATTACCTCTACAACGCAGGATAGGATTGTAGGAGACGCTAGGCTAACTTTTATTCACCTCTTGATGAATGTGTTTCCATTGATTGGGAACCGGATTTTCTCAGACAGTTCAGAAATGTGACAAGACGATACTGCAGAGATGGGGACATGTTTCGGTCGAGTTTTAGCTATTAAGTAACTGACACTGAATATCCTTGATTTCAGGCAAACTAAAGGCGATCGAAGGGGTCACTCGCACGATGACGGCGTCCGTTTTTACTTCCCACGGCTTAAACCCACGGCCTGACCAGTACCTAACGTATCCGCACAACCATATAACCCAGGCAGTGGGCAGTGGCTCTTTCCACAGTTGCCACTGCCCGGTGATATAGCTGTGCGCATGCGTTAGGTATTGGCCATCCGTGCCGGTTGGTCAGTGCGCGTGTGTCTTATCATTTTAGGGCTGGTCTGCCTACCTCCACAGTGAAAATAGCAAAGGGAAATCACATATGTTTTTGGATGAGGTACCAGTTCGTACGTTTGCAAATGCGCTCTTTATCGACAGCACGCTATTGAAGCTCTCTTCAAGAAAAATTAAATCCCGAATAACATCGTCTCTTCGGCCTACGCCGGAATGCTTGTATTTCGATCGACGTTTACGCAACAACGCGGAGGCTCATATTTAGAGCTTAGCTGTGATCCCATATATAGTCTGTGGTGCAGCCGGAAGTTTCACTCAAAACCTACAATATACAATCTTGCCACTGACCTCCGACTGTTTAGACTGTCTGTGATGCAGACTACATCTTGAGTGCTTGACCAGAAGAATTAAATTTGGTATTTTGATAAGTGGCCGCATTGGAAAGTATATTGTACAAAATTCTAGTCATTGAAACGATCGCCTCACAAGAAAAAACACAATGAAAGTCCTGAAACGAATAAGGTTTCCACAGTATTAACTTACGCGTTTTCGTAATGCACGAGTGTCCCAAATTTTCGCAAACTGAATCTTGTTTCACATTTGAGCAAGACGTAGGGTGAAGAAGCAGCTGAACGCGCAAAGTAGTACTTTTTCCATATATGGCATTTTCTGAGGGATCGGCTAACAATATTATTATTGTCAATTGAATAGTAACAAAAAAAATTAATATTTTGGAAAAAATTATTCGCTGAGATTAAATTAACCATACAATTTAGGATTAACCAATGCTGTTAACGTTAAGTCGAGCATCTTAAGCTAAATCGAGCTTTTCTCATGACCACCATTTGATCGTTACTTAAGTAAAAGACGTAGAAATGAAAATAAATCGAATATATTGGCCTCAACAGCTTCAGCTCAATATCATTTTAAGCAAAACAGAAACGTGTTATTAACTTACAAAATAATATTCACTATTTATTTTTCTCCTGAATTTTTAAATACATAGNCTGAGATTAAATTAACCATACAATTTAGGATTAACCAATGCTGTTAACGTTAAGTCGAGCATCTTAAGCTAAATCGAGCTTTTCTCATGACCACCATTTGATCGTTACTTAAGTAAAAGACGTAGAAATGAAAATAAATCGAATATATTGGCCTCAACAGCTTCAGCTCAATATCGTTTTAAGCAAAACAGAAACGTGTTATTAACTTACAAAATAATATTCACTATTTATTTTTCTCCTGAATTTTTAAATACATAGGTACAGTCGTATGCAACCGGTAAATATAAACTCTCTAAAATAGATTACAACACGTTTCGAAATTTCGATTTTGGGTCGACAGCTGATTCTCTAAGCAACGAAATTCCTGAAATAAAATTTGATATAACCTGGCTTAAATCCATTAGTTCTATTCATAATTTTTCATTGTCCATCGCGATAATTTCGATCCACCAGACGGCTATAAAGAAATAGATAACTTAGACTAAGCCCGAGGCTATTTATACTCCCGGCAAAAACACTATCGTAAAATTTCTTTCCTAGCCAAGATTAATTATGACTTCAACGTGCTGTTGCCGACCGCCAAAGACTGGCTAAGCTATAAGTAGTCTTATCATACTTTTAAAAAGGCATAGAGCAAATGTAAAATTTTAGTACGAGTTGCGAGTCAGTGCCAGAGATGACATTTCGTTCAACTTCGAATGCAACCGCAATTTTTTTCCATCACGATTGACTGGTATAAAGTACGTACTCGGTGGTCGAACAAGTTATTAAAACGCGGTTTTATTATTCTCCGCGGCGATCGCCAACTATGTTTCCGTGGTTTGCCCAAATCAATTCGTGTTGACCGCAGGCAAAAAAGCTGGCGTGTTATCCAGCAGCGAAGGTTTTTTTTATGAAACTCCGTGTTACAATGCACGAAAACGACGATTCTTTGACTGTTGCTTTCATAAAAAACCTATTTTCTTGTCAATTAATCGACAACATCGACGTTAACTGAAGTTTATCGGTCGAGGCAACAAATGAAGTGTGTTCTCACTTTTTTTTGACGGCGCAGTAATTATGTTTCACTGGCCAAATAAATACAGCTGTTCTTCTCCCTCATGGAACTCGGCTATATTCTGACTACTCTTTTTCTTGTTCACCCTCTTCGTCTTCCTCGCGAATAGGAGGCAAACCAGACTCCACCACAACGGATATCAGCATTTCCTTCTCTTTATCGCGAGATATTGTATTTTTGAAAGTCTCAGAGGCTAAAATGCCGTTCCTTGAAGAAGCAGCACTCTGACTTTCGACTTTAATCAGAGGCGATGCATTTTCGCTTTCAATGACTTCTGTAGTCCGCCGTTCTATGCCCAGGCTCTTTAATTTGCCTTTAGCCTCTCGAGCCTGTATTGACTTTCGTTCGCTCTTCATTTTGCTCAGACAACAACAGAAGAGAAACGAGAATATAAGAACGCCCATTATCGTCACAATTGCCAGCAGAGCTGGATTTAGTGGAAGTTCTTCTGGCCTAGTGCCTTCTGTAGGAAGGTTTTCGCACGTTTGATTACAGTAGGCGTTCGAACGCGAACAGTCTGGAGCCGTTTGACAAAGATTGTTGCAAGAGAAAGACGAAGAGCACTTACAGTACCCATCCGAGCATGTTTCGTTCAGTGACGAGTCGCAGTCTTCCAGCTCCTGACAAGGGACTTTGCAGACTTTTTGTGAAGAAACACAGACCACACAACAAATTTTCGACTTAGGGCATTCGGGGCCCTTGGTGGAACAGGTCGACCCCAAGCCCGTCATCGTTGGGCTGAAAATCAGCAAGAGAGCGAAAGCTGTCGCTCTGATGACCGCCTTCATCTTGTCATATTACATGTAATAAATCTTCGTTTCATTGCTGTTCTTGAAGTTATTCGTTTTACAGTATACATACGCACACTTTGCTCATTTACACACTAACGCGACAAGTGGTAACAAAGCGGTTTTTGGCGACTCGCAGGTGTTAATAACAGGAAATAATAGATATGCAAATAATAATAAGCTTATCAATCAGCGTTGCGCTACTTTGTTGTTGTTTCCAAAATGGGTTTCGGAAGTGGAGCGTCACCTTGTATAATGACTTATAATGGTAGTTATTTTCCATCTCATTCAATCTTGGCCTGTTTGTAGCAAAAACTTTGTAGCGCACGCGACACGACAACTCTACACGCGAGGATTCTTGAATGGTCGCCCATTGGATGGAGAAAATAAACATTCATTGTGACTAAAAATACTTTAGAACAAGTGTATGTATTTGACAGCGTTTGTTATATCCATACCACACGCATTGAACTCACGAATTTTAAAGCACGTACAGCTCATTTTCATAGGTTTAAGTAACGTTCACTCACTTCCCCGAATTTCGAAACTGAGATGTTTCTTTGTTTCTTTTCCTCTCTTTTGTTTTCTTTATCAAATGACCCAAACATCGTTTTGTTTTGCGTTTGTTCATCCATGCAATTCTCAAGCATGTCAAGATCTCTTGTTTATCCATTATTGAAAAATGGCCCTGCCTGAATCGAACATGTAAATGCCAAAATCATGGCATTAACATGTTCGATTCAGTTATCCCTTGGACAAGTCACGGAGTTCTGACACGCCATTTGCGAGACGTGACCGAAATCAATTCTGACTGATCAATATCGTGGAAAAAAACGTCCTGTTTACCATCAACTTAGCCATTATCACACATCATTTGCTCTGAATAGTGACAGCTTTCTTACTTAGTATCATTTTCGGTCTTTTTAATTTTGAAATAGAAATTATGCAATAATGTTGTTCGAGAATCGCGTGTGGAACGTCAATGGTCGCGTGACTTTGGCCTCAAGCAGCGACGAAAAATAAACTGGTAGATTAAACACGCGAAATTCATTTATTGGGTGCGACAAGCAAAAGCGCCTTATAAATGTTAAGCCATTGAAGCAGACACAGCAGAAAGGCCAGGGTTTTATTTCCTCCCGGGTGAACCCCTGTTTCCATGCCTTAGTAGGGTATAATAGCGCCACCACCAATACCACGACCACCATGACAGCAGCCATGCTTTGAAAGATGCTTAGCCTCTCCAGAACTGTTAACTAAGTTATAGACAACGAATAAACTTTTCTCATTTCAAAATCCTTATTTTCTTTTGCCTCTGAGGTTAGCCTGAGTCATTAAGCCTTCCTTTGGGGTTAGGGGAGAGAGGAGATTTGAACGCCTGATACTCAGGTTTAAGTACTTCGAGGCTGTTGAACGCAGGTAGATCGTTGGTTCAAATTGCCCATGTGAAGGGGGGGGGATCTTAAGTGCCCCAGGGGGGTTGAGTTCTGCAATAATAATTGAAGTGGTACCTGCAACAGAGCCCAAGTGAAATGCACTGTTTTTGCTTTTGAAACCGCAGGGAATGTATCTAAGTGACTTCTTATAAACTGTCAGATTCTTCTTTTAATTTGTCTTGTATTTGAATAGAATCAAATCGCGAATTCGTCATTAGAGCTAAGTAATAAACTTGGTGTCTAATTCCATGCACCCCTTTGTTTGCTGTTTTAAATTTCACTAACCAAAACTTATGGCCGTTACTTACTATATAAGGAAGTACCCACCCCCC